CTCCGGTCCAAGATGGATGCAGGTTAGGATCTTTCCCAGTAAGCCACCACCTCGTGGTGCTACACAGATTATTAGAAATGGGTTAAGCAAGATATGAGAGTTAGCCAAGAAGATGCCAGATATAATGGGCCAGGCAGTGTTTAAAAGAATATAGTTTCCGTGTAATTATTTCAGGGCATAAGCTAGCCAGGCGGCTGGGAGCCTGGCAGCAAGACTATGTGAGTCACATCTCCAGCCATAAAGTTTGCTCTTCCAATGACACTCTCATGGGCACAGTAGCTGACTGCTAAGACCCAGTTCCAGGGAGGCTAAGGCAGAAGGACCAGGAGCTTGGTAGCAGCCTGGCTACACAGACAAACCTCATCTCATAACAAATCAGCTGTACATGTGCAAAAAACCTGCACTCGAAGCTCTCTGAATGTAGAGGCAGGATGACTCCAGAGTTCAAGACCATACTGGAGCTAGGCCACTGGTGGTGGTGCACACCTTTAATCCCAACATTTGGAGGACAGAGGCAGGCAGATCTCTGTGAGTTCGAGGCCAGCCTGGTCTACAAGAGCTAGTTCCAGGACAGGCCCCAAAGCTACAGAGAAACCTTGTCTCAAAAAACCAAAGGAGAGAGAGAGAGAGAGAGAGAGAGAGAGAGAGAGAGAGAGAGAATGTAAAGACTGGACCCTTTAGAGGTCACTAGTGCAAACATTAAATGGTGTGGTTCCTTTTAGGAACCTGGCAAGTCTTCAGAAAATTGAGTCACCATGCAGTACAGAAACTTCATTCCTAGGATTATGCCTGAATGAATTGCTAACATGTCCATACAGTGCTGACACAACTCTTAAAATAGCCCAAAGTGGAAACCCAAGTATTCATTAACTAACGCGTGGACAAAATGTGGCATCCTGTAAGGAAGACTGCTGGAGTGATTCTATAAAATGAATGGATCTTGTTGGTGGTGATAGCGCACGCCTTTAATCCCAGCACTGGGGAGACAGAGGCAGGCAGAGTTTGAGGCCAGCTTGGTCTACCTAGGGAGTTCCAGGACAGGTTCCAAAGTTACAGAGAAACCTTGTCTGGGGGGTGGGCGGGAAACAACCCAAAACAAACAGAAAAGGATGAATGGATCTTGGAAGCAATGCGACATTTCAAAAGAGTACAGACTCTTATTATATTGAAAGAAATGTTGAGAACAGGCAAAACTATATATGATTAGAGATTGCCGGGTTCAGGGAGGTACGAATGGGGTATTAACTGCCAATGAGGGGATGGAAAGGGATGAAGGAAGCACTCTGGAATTAGGCAGTAGTGATCACCACCCAGCCACACAAACCACACACGGAACCTCATGATTTAAGGCTGTAAACTTTGTTTTGTTTTGTTTTTCAAGACACAGTTTCTCTGAGTCCTGGAACTTGCTCTGTAAAAGCCAGGCTGGCCTCAAACTCAGAGATTCTCCTGCCTTTGCCTTCTGAGCGCTGGGATTAAAGGCATGTGTCACCACACCTTGGCAATGACTGTCAATTTTATATTTATCTCTCAAGAAGGGGAAAGGTTTCACTCAGCAGTGCCCCATGGTCCAACAAATCAGATGAGGCCAGGTCTAGAGGTCACAGGACACAGTGAATGAAGTCACACTTCAACAGCTCTCCCATCTCATGATGCTCTATTCCTGGGGTTCTCCCCCTTCTTAATTCTCCCCCTTTCTTTAGTACAATTCATGATGTGGTAACCGCAACCATAAAGTTATTTCATTGCTACTTCGTAACTGATGTGAGATTCCCCTCTGTATGCTGGGAGTATCATTGGTGAATAAAGAAACTGCCTTGGCCTGCTGATAGGGCAGAACTTAGTCAGGTGGGGAAAATTAAACTGGATGCTGGGAGAAAGGTGGCAGAATCAGGAGATTGGAGACAGACGCCAGATGGAACTTTACCCGGTAAGCCACAGCCACATGGCAATACACAGATAAATGGAGATGGGTTAGTTTATGAGTTAGCCAGAAATATACTTAAGCTATTGATCAAAAAGTATTGCAAATAATGTGGTTTCTGTGTGATTATTTCAGGAGTCTGGGCGGCCATGAAATGAACAAGCAGCCTCCAACTACACATAATTTTGCTGTTATGAATCATAATGGAAATGTTTTCTGATCGGCTTAGGCAACTCCTGTATAGTTGTTCCCCCTTGAAAGGGGTTGCAACCCATAGGTTGAGAACCACTGCTTCAGTTCTAGTGACTGTGTTTCAGCTGTGTGTGGTTCCACTACTCTTGAGATTCAGCTGGAGTGGGTGAACCACTTGTTCTTTTTTTTTTTTTTTTTTTTGGTTTTTCGAGACAGGGTTTCTCTGTGGTTTTGGAGCCTGTCCTGGAACTAGCTCTTGTAGACCAGGCTGGTCTCGAACTCACAGAGATCCGCCTGCCTCTGCCTCCCAAGTGCTGGGATTAAAGGCGTGCGCCACCACCGCCCGGCAAACCACTTGTTCTTAAGGAACCCAGGCTGGCAAGAAGTTTCCTGGAAAGGTTTTTTTTTGAGGAAGGAACCCTAAAATCCTGCCTCTGGGCATGGCTGAGTATGTTATATCAACGGAAGACTCAGGCCAGCTGGGCAATATGAGGTCTATGGAAAAACTGGGTATACATCCTTCCTTTTTAAGAACTGAGACTGGGCCAGGTGGCGGGGGTGCACACCTTTAAGCCCAGCCTTCAGGAGGCAGAGTTCAAGGCCTGCCTGGTCTACAGAGTTCAGTTCCAGGACAACCAGGGCTACACAGAGAAACTGTCTCAAACAAAACAGAACAAAAACCCAAAAAAACAACCTAAGAGCTGAGATGGGAGTAGGGTGGGGCAGAGAGATGGCTAAGTAATTAAGGGCACTGACTTGTTTTTCCAGAGGACCCAGGTTCAATCCCCAGCATCCACATGGCAGCTCATAACTGTTACTCCAGTTCTAGTGGGCCTGAAACTCATGGCAAATGCTAATGCATGTAAAAAACAAACAAACAACTATGGGGGCTGGAGAGATTATCAGTGGTTAAGAGCACTGGCTGCTCTTCCAGAAGACCTGGGTTCAATTCCCCACACCCACATGGCAGTTCACATCTGTCTCTAACTCCAATTCCAAGGGATCCAACACCCCCTTACAAGCAAACCAATGTATATGAAAAAAAAAAGTAAAAAAAAGGGGAAATTTTTTTAAAAAAAGGTAAATTCTAAAAAGAGAGAGCTGAGATTAGTTACATAGTTATGGCAGGCTTTGAGTTGGGAAGGGTCTACTTTTATTAAAAGTGCCAGGTATTAGGTTATTTGTGTGCCTGGTGTCCATGGACACCAGGAGAGGATATTGGATTCCCTGGAGTTAAAAGTGCCAAGTGTTAGCATGTCATGTGTGTGCTGACCACCAAACCTGCACCCTGAGGGACTCACTAAGCACTCTTAACCACCAAGCAGTATCTCCAGTCCTCTAGGGGCCCACCTTTTGCTGTTGAAATGGTTTTCATGTGGCCAAGTATGGTCTTGAACTCATGCAGCTTAGGATGACCCTGAACTCCTGATCTTGACTAAATAAGTACTCAGGCCCAAGTATAAAATATAGCCAGGTAGCACATGGCTACATTCAGGCTTTAATTCACACAGGGCAGACAGATCAGGTCTATTCAAATAGACCAATCTATAAGAATAAAAATCAAAGGTGGCCGGGTGGTGGTGGCACACGCCTTTAATCCCAGCCCTTTGGAGACAAGGACAGGCGGATCTGTGAGTTCAAGGCCAGCCTGGTCTATAAGAGCTAGCTCCAGAACAAGTACCAAAGCTACAGAGAAATCATCTCAAAAAAAGAAAAGAAAAAAGCCAGGTGGTGGTGGCGCACGCCTTTAATCCCAGCACTCGGGAGGCAGAGGCAAGTGGATGTCTGTGAGTTCGAGACCAGCCTGGTCTACAAGAGCTAGTTCCAGGACAGGCTCCAAAACCACATAGAAATCCTGTCTCGAAAAACCAAAAGAAAAAAAATCAAAGGTGAAGCTCGGCTTACATATCCAAATTATTTGGTAACACAAGTCCAGAACAGAAAAATACTTCCATCCAGCTATCCAGCTATGACACATGAAGTGATGTCTCTTTATAACTGACCCAATGACTAGCACAGCACATGTTAGAGCTACATGCCATCTCCAGGTAAGCAAAGTGCACAACGGGAACACTGGTAACCCAACTACAGCTTCAAGATTTGCTTCAACTCCAGACTGGTCACAGAACTCCTAGAACTGTTTTACCAGAAGACAAGTGGCCTTCAGATAGAGGTCTAAGATTCATTTCATTGCTCAGTGTTGTCAAATTAACTACGGTTTCTTCGCCCAGAAAGGAGTTCAACACACCTGGAACCAGTTGCCTCAGAACACCCACCCCGAAGCTTCAAGTGTCATCTCAATCTTTGACAGAAGGGAACGAGGCAGTTTCTGTTGTCTCCCAATTAATTTCCCTCCAATTTGAGCCACACGAAACTCTGTGAAACAAGTTCAAATTACAGCCACAAATCACATTTTTTTTGTTTTATCCAGACAGGGCTTCTGTGTCATAGTCCTGGCTGCCCTGGAACTAGCTCTTGTAGACCAGACTGGCCTTGAACTCCTGCCTGCTTTCCGATTAAAGGCGTGCACCATCACAGATCTGTGTCTTCACACCTTCTGATTAGCCAGTCTGTTAACATTGTTGCAGGTTAGCACAGTGGTAGACCATCTGACTCACGGTCAAACACAGCACTGCCCAGAGACAGCAGAGGGTCAATGCTCAGCAGAGGGATGCCCAGCTCTGCATACTTTAAGGATTGCCACACTCTTCAAGAACCATTTCCCTGCACCCACTAACGATCCGGCCTATTCTGGGAAGCATACATACCCACTACCACTTCCCACTGTGTGTTTGCGAGACTGACTAGATCCATGACCATCCAGTCAAACCAAGAGAACTGGCAGCCAGGTTCCCCAATGTGGAGGAAAAGACCAGAGGCAGGATTTCCAAGCCAAACTGTATCCAGCTTTATTAAAGACACTTTCCATAAACAATCATGGTTTTCCAGGCAGAACATGGGCAGACAATCAGTAACAGTATACAAGAACTTCCAAACTCCCTTCTTGTATGACTACCAAAATCAGAAAGCCACTATAAAACCTGGTGAGTCTTCATTGGATGCTCTGCAAAGGGGGAGGAGTTTAGAGTGAGGGCTGACATTTCACATCGAGGATGTTGTTTCACAACTCTTCACAAGCCGACCCTGACTTTCAGGAAATGAAATGAAAATGGCAGAATTATCAATCTGCAGATCCACAATCTTCTATAAAAGGAACCGCTGCGCTTTTGAGGACACTCAATGATATCACTGCAAAGTCCGGATTGCCCAACAGACTGGCAAAACCAATTTTGGGGATCAGGTTCCAACAGGTCTCTGGTCTTAAGGGAGTTAAGTCTATGTTGATGGTACAGGGGGAGGAGGATATAAAAATGAACTGAGTTTTCCCACACATGTCAACATGTCCCCAGGACGCCTCTCCTGGGAGCCAAGAGGAGTCTTTCAAAATTATCAGGGAAAGATGTTTTCCATCATGAACCATCATTCATCCAGCTTGGGAGACACTGCTAGTGACACATGTTCCTCCCCACCCAAAACAATGAAGTGTTCTGTGTGCTAACAACATAGCTTAAAAAAAAAAAAAAGTAAAACAAAATTCTGCATTTTTATAAAACTTGATAAAAAATAGTATTTCAAACTGTACAGTCACCAGAAGTACACAGTTATCAAAAACGCACACATTTCACTTGGCGTCTCCAGCACCTTCAGCTTTTTGTGCCTAAAAGAAGAACAAGTAAAGTCAACACAGAAACTAGACTCTACCTTTGCTTACTCTAGTCTATATACACGGTATCGTTCCCATGATAAAATCCAGGTTTGGGTCCACCAAGACTGCGCTTCAAGAACAGCCCACTTCACTAAATCACCCCGCCCACTGACTGATTGGGATAGATAGGATCAGAGGACCCGAGACCTTTAGTTTCATGTCAGGATAAGCCAACACAGCAAGTGCCTTTTAGATTATAACAGACTCTTGAACTGAGGATTTCAGACAGGAGGAAAAAAAAAAAAAAAAAAAAATCACACCCCACACAGTGATCCAGATATAAGGGCAATAAACAATTGTGGGATGAAAGACTCACTGTACCTGGTCTGTTTTGGCGTCTCCATTCTCTGCAGGATTATTGGCATCCTTACCAGCATCGGCCTTCCCCTTCTTCCCCTTGGGTACCTTCTCTCCCTTCTAATGCCAAGGAAGGACAGATATTACAGTTTTTCATTTTGTATACCAGGATGTAACCTACCAAGTTCTACACGCTTGCCTACTGAAGATATACCCCACTCCACTAGGCTGAAGGATAATTTCAGCTACTTTTTTTGCTGAGGAACCTAAATTAAGTTATAGAAATCTAAGTTTGGTAAAAACACTCCTTTCCCAGCCAAGGGTAGTTTTCTGTAATTGGTGCCACAGACACTAACATGACAAACACCAGGAAGAAGGCCTAAGTGACAACATCCACTGGTGGACGCCCATTATGGTGAATTAGGTTACGGTGGGGAAGGACAGTTCTTCCCGTGAAAATCACCCATCTGGTATTAGCGCCGCAGTCATGCTTACCTTTGCGGGGGCCTTTTTAGGCTTGGGCTCTGGCTTTGGAGGAGCAGGTTTCTTGTTTTGGTAGGCAATGGGGAAGAGGAAACTATTAGTACAAAGGACCAAAAGAAACAACCTCTCGAACCACATCTAGGAAAACTATCATTGGGATTGCCTTTCTTTTACGATCTGAAAGTGATCTCCCAATTTGGTCTTAACAATCACAACTTAGGACAACGCCAAACTCCAGAGGTGCCACACCACAAGATAATTTACTCAAAACCAGCCACAAACTATAATTCAGCGAAACCAAAGGGATCCCTAAAATGTTTCCCAACCTCAGGGTCAAGTATACACACTTACAGCAGACAACCTTGCCGATCTTCTCTGTGGCTATTAAAAAGAAAACAAAGTCAGAAAAATAAACACAACTTCTGCACCAGATTTTCCACATAAAAGAAAGCGAAGAAAGAAACTCTAGGGTAACTCCAGACCTGGGGCTGAGGTCAAACAATAGCAAAGCAGCCCGTGGTGTTTACTATCCAAAGCCCTGTGCAACAAGCCCTGTGTGGGTAAGACTCACCTCGTCCTTCACCTTGGCTTTATCTCCTTTAGTATCCCCTTCAGCCTATAAAGATAGAAGACAAAAATTTGTAACCTCGGAGGTAAACCTCAGCCATCGCGACCTTAAAAGAAAGCGACACCACGTTTCTAAAACGTATCGACTCAGCGTCTCTTAAAAGTAGTCTTAGTGGGGGATGGAGCCCCAAAGAAGATCGAGGCCCGCATAGCAGACCCCGCAGGTCGGCCTCCGGGAAGCGCGGGCGAAGCTGGAGCGGGGCCGGCGAGTCGCCGGGCGCCACCAGCCAGGCAGGCGCAACAGCTGCATATTGTGCAAACAAACCCCTCCGGAGGCGGAGCCCAGCGCCGTTGCCATGGCAGCCGTCGAGGGCGGGAGCTCGGGGAACTCGTGGGCGGCGGCGCGGGTCCCTGCGCCGGGGACGTGGGCGGCCGGGGGGCGGAGCCGCGCCGCGACCCCGCCCCTCGCGGCGTCAGTTTTTTGGCGGTAGAGCGCTCCCCCGCCCGCCCAGCCGAGCGCCGCCTTCCCGCCCTTTCGGGTTTGAATCGCCCGCCCGCCCGCCCGGAGAGGAGGGGGCGGCAGGTGGGGGAGGGGGCACGGGCGGCCGAGGGGAGCGGGATAAACAGCGGCCAACATGGCTCCTCCCGTCGCCGCCGCCGCTCCTCCAATATGGCTTCTGGCGCCCGCGGGCAGCGTGCCGCGCAGGCTTCGCCCGCGGCCGGACTCAGGATGGAACCCCGCGCCGCGCCCGCTCTCCCCGCCGAGTTCCGCGCTCGAGGCGAGCGGCGGCAGTGGCTGTGCCCGGGCGCCCACGCGCTCGCGCCACGTACCTTTCTTTTGGGCATGGCGGCGGCGGGGGGGAACGTCGGCGCTGAACGCGGGGCTGCAGCGGTGCGCGGCTCGGGTCCGTCCGGGGGTCGTTCTCGCTGCTTCTTCACACTGCTCGGGCTCCGGGGGGTTTATAAAGTTTTTATAGCGCTGGGAGCCTCGGACCGGTTAGAACCGGATTTCACCTCCCGCCGCCGCTCATTGGCCCAGCTGGGGTCACGTGGGCGGGGTTTAAACTCACCTCCTCTGGAGTGAGGAGGGGGTGTCGGGGAGGGTGAGCTAGACGGCCGCGCGCCTTGGGGGAGGGGGCGCGGTGGGGGAGGCGCGCGCTGGAGGCAGTAAATGAGGGGCGCGCGAGGCGGCGGGCTCGGGGTTCCGCTCCCGCTCGAGCTGGCTTTTGCAAACTCCCAAGTTCCTTCCACCTTATGCAACCCTGCTACCCACTTCTCCAAGCCGTGCGACACTGGGCACATCTCGGCCGCTTTCCTTCCGGCTCCCGCTGGGGGCCCCACAAGAGGGGATGGCGAGGCCTGGCCGCGCCGCCCGGCTCCATAAGCGACGACGGGAGGCGGCCGCTCCAGGGGCCACGGGCTCTAGTGGGATGAGAGCGAGGGGGCTGGCTTGGCGCAGTCGGACGTGCATTCTTCCGAACTGCTACCTCTGGAAATCCCTCCGTGCGCCTCACCTGGGAAGCCGTCCACTGGAGGTGGGGGCGTGGGCTCCAAGTGGAGACTTTGCACACAGGGGTGCCTTTCGGGTACTGCCGGGCAGGTAGGAGCTGTCCTTTCAGCACCTACTGCTCAACGGCCTCCCCAAACGCTACACAGCCCCCCAATATCGGCCGGGTGGCTTCCTTAAGCCCCTGCACGTCCGGCCCCCTGGACCCATTACAGAATGGTGGAGAAAAGCCGCCAACACGGTCTGCGAGCACTCCCCTCCCCCTAAGCCCTCTGGGTCTCGGATACAGCTAGCCCAGCTGCCCCCACTCGACAGAGGCCACCAAACCTGGGCTGTGCAGATGCCACAGCTGGCGAACCCCCCCCCCCCCCAACACACTATCAAGCCGGCTTGTTCTCGCTTGCGTGAGGAAGAAGCCGTTGAAGGAAAGCGCCGGAAGATTAGGAAACAAGTAGACGAACAGGTGTGATGGCCAAGGGGCCCTCCTGTGCACCCCACTCGAAAGCCCGGCGTTCTAGAGCTGACCAGCGCACTCGCGGGAGGGTGCCAATCGCAGAAGCAAAGCAAGGCGTTCTTTCGTTATAGACACGGAACAAATCTTACATCTAAGAATTTTAAAAAATTCTATTTGACACCCAGAACACAACCGACTAAACATCTGTAACAGGGTGTTTGGCGCTCAGGTGGAAAATGCATATATAGGTTCCCACCTTATTTTTTGAGGCAAGGGTGGAAGCTAGTTTGCACTAACCATTCCTGCAGAAAGCAAACATCCAAAACAATCTTTTTGCAGCCTTTGCTTCTGGTTAGCAACGGATTTGCCTCTTCTTTCCACTGGCACAGCGCCTCCTGAGGCAGTCCCCACCCCAGCCCACTCCGCCCTGTGCACCTTTCCCAGAATCCAGGTCCCCAGGCTGGAAGATACCTTGTCCATTAATCACCTGTACTGTACTCCAATCGTAAGAGAAAGTCAGCCAGGACTCAACAGCCATGCTTGCTGGGCAGATTCCGTTTGCTGCCTCCAGCCTCTCATTCCCGCCTTAATTGTAGGGCTCTGTATTATAGCCACATAATTCATGCCTCCCTAATTAAGGCTGTCAACAGCCTCATTGTAAAGCTGGGAAATGCACAGCACCTGCTCTTGGGGAACTCAGTGCCAGCATTTGGTTTTGGGGAGTGCCAGGTGTAGAGGGGGCCTTGCCAAAGGGTGCACTGATTGGCTTTTGGTTACAGTGTTAGACTCTTATCCTTGATTCTGAGAGGAAGAATGATGGACAAAAGGTCACTAGTGACAGGTATCTAGGCACAAAACTGGGTGAGGGGCAAGGCTAGAAGTTAGGAATCTAAAGAGTACATTTACCATGGCTTATAATAGCCCACCTCTTTCCGGGAGGAAGGCGCTGCGGAAAGGGTCTGGAGACAATGAGAATACCAGAGTGGCAACTGGTCAGTGTTCCTGGCTGGTATTTACTGCTCTGGGGCACCTGATGCAGAATAGCTCTGCAGACCTCTCTTCAGCCCTATGGGGGAGGCAGGCAATCTTGTCTCTTCCTGAAAGGCAGTGTTGGCCCTCAGGCTGAGTAAGTTCTGCCATGATGACAGTAAAGCGTCTCAGGGCCTACTTAGGGAGTCAGGTCAAAGAGCTGTGAGGAGCCTTGAAGATTGGGAATCAGTCTGAGCTGGCGACAGAAGGAGACAGTCAATCAGGAGATGCTTGGTTCTGTTCGGTCCTGATGTGTTCAATTATACTCTGGGACCTCTCTAGGCCCTTCTGCTACCCTGTAGCCATGGAGGGGGTTGGGTCTCACTGGGGAGTGGAGCCTGGCCCCATGCCCTGTAAGGGGGAGCAAAGCTTGTGTGGGCTGAGTCAACAATAGGTAATTGGATTGTAATCACCCGCCTGGCTTCCATGAGCCATTGGGGGCGCTGAGCCTTTCAGTGAGCAATCAGTACTGGTGGTGGGAGGGGTGGAGATTCAATAGCAAATCCCAGGTGGAGAGCCAAGGGGAGGAGCAGCAGATGGGCAAATTTTCTTCCTGTCCTTCCCACCCCTTTCTCCCCTGCCCAGAGATGCTGGCTGTCTATCAGTTATTTACCAGTAGATGCATTCTTTTGTCAAAGTCACGTGGTGGGGGCTTGGGCAGGATGGGTAATGGCCTCGATTTTGGGAAAACTTCTTCTGCATGTTTTAGGATATGCTAATGGAAAAAGAACATGCATCCAAAAATGGGGGGGGGCACGGACAGTAAACACAGCTTATGAGTTAGGGTCCCCTGTTCTCCAGATTATCAGTGACTGCTCTTGGATTTAGTGTAAGCATGGGAGACTCCCTCAACTCTAGGTGAGTCACTGTCACAGGGAGCCCAAAAGTGTCTGTAGGCCTTGCCTTTGGGGCTCCCTGCAAAAAAGCAAAGGGAGCACAAATCATCAAAACAGGGAGGTGCCTTTCACCAAGAAAAGAAAAGGAAGTTGGGGCCCAAGAGGCAGAGGGCAGGGCAAAGTGGCCACTAGCCAGCCTCACTAGGCAGGTGCAGTGCCCAAAAGTGCCAGCCAGTCAGCCCGTTTAAGTTCCAAGGCCTTCAGGAAGCTCTGGACTCGCTCTTCCCGTTTGGCAGAGAGTCTGTGCAAGCGTGTCCGTCGGAGTTGGGCATCCCCACTGGCCTGGAGCCCCTCCTGAAGCAGCTGCTCTGTCACTGCAGCCTGGTCCCTCTCCAGCTGGTGTCTCTTCCGCTCCTCAGCATACATGTCTCGGGCCTTCTGCTAGAGAAAAGTGGGGTTTGGGGAGATAATTTTAGGTGTGGGTAAGTAAGATGGAATGGAGAAGGTGGGACTAGGGTACCAGAGTGGCCAAGCAGAGTAACTCCGGAGAGGCAGTAGATGGTGCCCGTGTTACACAGAAGTCAGCAGTAGTCTGTCTTGGCTTGTTTTGTGTGGAAATATTTGTATTTCTTAAAATTCTTTCAAGCTTACACTTGGAAACAGGTAAACAGCCTGACTTCTGATTCGCTGTACCCGTGGGGAGATCTTCCCTGGTTTTGCTCATTTGTAACGTGGGACTGTGTCTACCTTGAAGAGAGGTTTAAGGGATTAGGGATAATAATGCAAACCCACTCTAACATATCAGCAGGCAGAGAAACAGCCATTTTATGCATTGTTGTCTACTGTCTGAGACGATATGCACTGGGTCTTCTCATGTCAGTGTGAGGTGCTGTTCTCCAGCTCCCTAACCTATTTTTCAGGGTCCAGCCTCCTATACTGAAGACAGGCTTGACTCTCTGAGCAAACAGCCCTCCTAGGAATGATGAGAAGCAAATTCAACTCTTAAGCCACTTAGGCTGCCTAGACCAGGTATTAGTCTTTAGTCTGATCTTTCTGTTGGAAAGAATCCCTTGGCGGCTCCAGAGCCACCCTGACAGCTGGTGGTGATCACAGGCTCTGAGTGCCTCCCAAACTGTGCATGTGTCTTCAGAGAGATTCTTTACGAGGGCAGAGACTACTTTTTGTCTCTGGCACTCAGAACACTCTGCATATGCAGAGGTCACTCACAAGAGGACAGGAAGGGTGCAGGTGACCAAAGTGGGAAATCCTTGAGAACAGAGGTGACTGGCGTGTCTCAGACGAGTCCTGACACTATACCTGGCCTCCAGAGTCCGACCTTGTCCTAATCATCTACAAGCTCACGGCCTTGTCCTCACTTTGTTTTGAGACAGAGTTTCTCTGTGCCACTCTGGCTGGCCTGGAACTCACGGGCCTCTAAGAGTTCTGTGAGTAAAGGCATGTGCCACCACGGCTCTGCTTTTTAGGAGCCGCCTATGTTATGTTCACAAACACTTCACCCACTGTCTCACTAACCTTGAGAATGGAGCTGTGAGCAGCCAGGTGTGGTGGCACACGCCTGTGATTCCAGCACCAAGAGGTGATGATCGCTGAGTTCCAGACAATCCTGGTTTACACAGCGATCAGGTCAGCCAGCGCTACATAACAGGGAGACTGTCTCAAAACACCCCCCCCAAAAATAAAATAATTACTTGGGGGGGGGGCTCAAGTTGGAGCCCCAGAAACCAAAGGTGGCAGAATATGCCTATAACCCTAGCACTGGTAGAGAGAGAGGGCATCCCTGAAACTTCTGGCCTGGCAGAATAGATGAACTTCACCTTCAGAGGTGATCCTGTCTCAAAACAAAGGTGGAGGTAGGAGGGCTGGCAAATGCATAGGTAGGGAGAGGGGCTGGTAAAGCCTGACAAATGGATTCCATCTGTGGACGCCATGCAGGGTGACAGGAGAGCTGGTTATGGTAGTCCACGCTTTAATCCCAGAACTCAGGAAGCAGAAGCAGGCGGATCTCTGTGAGTTCGAGGCCAGCCTGGTCTACAGAGCTAGTTCCAGGACAGGCTCCAAAGCCACAGAGAAACCCTGTCTCGAAAAAACAAAACAAAACAAAAACAAAACAAAAAAACAAAACAAAACAAAGGTAGAGAAAACCAAAGTTGTCCCATGACCTCTGCACACACAC